GGGGAGGGGGCGGGAGGCGCGGGCGGCAGCGATGGCGGGAGGCGGAGGGAAGGGCGTGGGGAGGCTGCGGGGGACCAGGCAGAAGCTGGGAACGTGGAGAGGGAGCTGCCGTGGGTAGTGGGGCGACTGGCACGTGGGCTCTGCCCGTGGGGAGGATGGAAATCGGGAATGTGCTATATTCGTTAAAGAAAAAAATTGCTTAGGTACTGATGGTGTGTCCCCCCTCATCCATGCCACAGAGCGCTTTGCACCCAGTTTTGTGACATAAAACTAGTTGAGATCAGTAACTGTATTTAGTAGCGTGCCTTGAGAGGCAGTGTGGCTTAATGGTAAGTGCTGGGGCCTGGGAGTCTAAAGGACCTGGATCCTTCATTAACAAGCTCGGGGCAAATTTCTTAGCCTCTCTGAACTTCAGTATTCTCGCTCATGAAAAAAAGGTTAATTCATGCCTTTATATATTATCTGTAAAGATGGCAGCATGTTTATATGTAAAGTGATTAGTAGTAGTATGGGAGGATTTGGGAATAGTGAGGAACATGGTTTTTGAGACTGCTGAGGTCAAGGAAAGGTGTCTTTTGTAGCACTTACGTTCTTGGAAGGAAAAAGAGCCCCATCCTAAATAATCCAGGTTGGTTGTTAGAGTCCTTCGTGACCTTCTGGGAAGTGGGCTAAACTCTGCTTCAGAGATTGACCACTTCGTTCCAGATTTTACTACCTGGAGGTATGTTTGGAGAGAATATGTGTGGTCTTTGGCACGGTACTACTGTATCTAGTTGAGAAAGTTTTTTCAGGTGTATTTCTATAATCAGTGTGTGTGCTTAGCATCTTTAAGTGTGAGTGGAAAGTTGGAATATGGTGCTGGGTGCGTAGTAGGTACTTAAAAACTTGCCCTTGTCTAGGGTTACGTCTTAAAATAACCTTTCATGAAAACCTTACTTTTTTTTCTTGCCTTTGGGGAACCTGAAACAATGTTATCAGATTTTAAGGCTGGCTGCTTCTTTGGAAGCTGGCCTCAAAGCCTGTTAGCCTCTGGTTTTAGGTTTTGTTGGTTGCCTAAGGAGAGATGTTTAGTACGTGCACTTGAGTTGTGTAAGAATCTGCTTGCTGTTTCTGTTTCAGTAGAAGAGGCATTTCTGGGGGTTCTCAAAGAGAGGGAACAGGGATGTTTTTAGGCTACACTTTTAGTTCTCACCTTTTGCATTTGGTATCAGGGAAGAAAACTTTTGCTTTTCCACAAACCCCTCTTTGTTACTGCAGACAGAGGCAGAGTACAGAAAGCTCCAGTGGCTTCTGGTTCTGGTCTGGATTGGTAGGTATGCTTAGCTGGCTGCTATCTTCTCTTGAGTTGTATGGAAACAAATGTCTAGGGCAGCTCAGGTGACATGACAGTCTGGAGTCAGAATTCCCTGCCTCTTTCAAGATGTGAAATGGTCTTCCTTGTAAATAGGGAGAAGTGACTAAGCACTTGAAAGAGGCTAGGAAAAATTAGCTTTAGGAAATCTTGTATTCTTGCTATTCTTAGTACAGGTTTATTCCCAATTTTTCAAACCCTGTGACTCTGGGATGAGATTTAGTTTGCATAGATTGCAGTGTTTATTTTCCATTAGTGTAGTAAATGAGCAGCTACAGCTACTGTTTACAAAAGGAGAGAGAATGTGGTGTATTTGAGTGCTTTGTGTCAGTGTCATCGTAGAAGTTCATCTTGGGGATTTAATTGTTCTCTTTGGCTGAACTTAATATGGATCACTTCTTACCACTTTAGCTTTAAGCACATTTGAATTTCCTAGCCCTGCTGATTTTTTTAAAAAACTATTGTAGGATTCTTTTGAGTCAAACTGACGGTAAAAGATAACTGCTTAGTTTTTCACTTTAATCTTGCTTTTATCCCATTTTAGAAGCACTTGTCTTTTATGTTGACATTGTTTTCTTTTCATTTTTTGACATCTTTGTTTTTCACGGAGATATGGTAGATTAACAAGAGAATTGGTTTGTGTGTAAATTAGCAGGATGAAATTAATAATTTTTATTAATTCTCTTTAATTCCTTATTTTGTAAATTTTTGGAAAAAGTTTTTTTTTTGATGGTGCATCTTAGTTTACTCGTTTAAAGGTAATTTTAATAGCCAAACAAATTTCAGCTGATTATTCTAGTTTACCTTGAGAATTCAAAGACTATATATAATGTAAAAATTTTCCAATTTTAGTATTTTAAAATCTAAGTTAAACTACATGTTAGAAGCATATGCTCTGATTTTACTTCATTTTTTATTTAAAAACACTGTCTTCTAGAAGCCCTCCATTAAAAGTGTGTATATTAAGAAGTAATGTCTTCTCCCATCTCCCGAAACTAATCACTATTAAGTTTTCTGTCCTTGCCTTTTCTCTACAGTTAGACAGACATGCTACCTTTTTCCCCTGAAATGGACGTGCTTTACATAGATAGGTCTGCAACTTGTCTATTTCACTTAATAAATGTTAGCTATAATTATATACTTGTAAATGGTTATGTGGCCTTGTAATGCACTATAAGCACTGTATGCATTATCTCAGGAAATCTTCATGTAACTGAGGTGGGTACTATTATAGTATTATTATTGTTCCTATTTTTTTGATGAGGAAACTGAAGCCCAGAGAAGTTAAAAGTGCCTAGAGTTATATAGCTAGAAGTGGGGGGACCTAGGACTCAAATCCAGGCCATCTGATGCCAGGACCCTCTGGTCTGTTTACTAGATCATGGACTACTTTCCAGGCCAGTGTTATAGATCTGCCTCATTCTTGTTGAAGAGTATTCCGTCACTTGCATGTACCATGCATGATTTATTTGCCTGTTTCTCTATTGATGGACAAGTAGATGGCTATCATTTTTTTCATTATTTTCTAAGCAGTGCTATAATAGATATCCTTGTACATATTTTTGGGTACTCTTGTTTTCACTTCTTTTTTTTTTTTTTTTTATAATTTTATTTATTTATTTATGTTTTCCCCCAAAGCCCCAGTAGATAGTTGTATGTCATAGCTGCGCGTCCTTCTAGTTTCTGTATGTAGGACACAGCCTCAGCATGGCCGGAGAAGCGACGCGTCAGTGTGCGTCCGGGATCCGAACCCAGGCTGCCAGCAGCGGAGCGCGTGCACTTAACTGCTAAGCCACGGGGCAGGCCCAGTTTTCACTTCTGTAAGACTACTGAATTAGTCTGAGCTCTGAGTGGTTTAAATTTTAATAGCTATTGCTAGCTTACGCTCAAAAAAGTATCAATTTACATACCTGTCAACAGTAGATGAGAGGATGGGTTTCCCCTACACTCTTACAAACCCTGGATAATGTCAGTTATACTAAATTTGTATCTTCTGATGGATAAAAAATGATATTGTTCATTTGACAAATGTTGGCATGCCTAGTCTGTGCCAAGCCCTATGCTAGGCTGCAGGAAATACAAGGATGGAACAAAACCAAACCCAGTCCCTGTTCCTAGGTAGTGAATCAGATGGCCATTAATTAGATAATCTCACAGACAAGTATAAAACTATTTAACAAATATGACTGTGTATTGCTTACCAGGCACAATTCTAGGTATTTGGAATACATCAGTGGACAATACAGATAATATATAACCTTGACCTAGTGTGGGAGAAATAGATACTAAACAACAAACATAAGCAAATGATAGGGATTGTCAGGTGATAAGTGCTACGGAAAAAAGAAAAAATAGAGCAGAGTAAAAGGAAGGGGGATAGGCTGGTTTTAAATAGGGTGGTCAGAGTAGCCTTATTGAGAAGATGACATTTGAGCAAAGACCTGAAGGAGAGAGAGGAGTTAGCTATGAGGATATCTGGAGGAGGAGTGTGCTAGACAGGGATCAGTTTTTGCAAATGCCTTAAGAAGTGTGTCTGGCATGTTTGAGGAATGGCATGGAGGTCACTGTGGCTGGAATGAAGTTATGGGGGAGAGGTGGGAGAGGAGAGTAGTAGGATTGAGGTGGGGGGTAATGGGGTGGGGGCAGATCTTGTTGGGCCTTACATTATAGCCAAGCATTGTAAAAATTGCCTTTCACTATGGGGAACCATTGAAAAGGTTTTGAGCAAAGGAGCGATGTGATCTGACTTAGGTTTTAAAAAATCACTCTGGCTGCTAGATTGGCAATAGAGTAAAGGGAGGCAAGGGAGGCATTAATCCAGAAAAAAGGTGATGAGGCTTGGACCAGGGTATATTGGTGGAGGTTATATTTTGAGGGTATGGTGAACAAGATTTAGATTAGATATGGGATGCTAGAGAGGAGTCAAGGATCACTCAGAGGTTTTTGGCCTGAGCAACTGTGAGAGGCACACAATGTTATGAATGCCTATAATTGAGGAGTTGGACCCATGTAGTAAGGCTAGAAAAGGTTTCTGAGGAAATGGTCCTGGAGCTGAGATCCAGTGGGTGAGCAGGAGTCCCTTTCTTGGAAGAAGCAGGATGAGTAAGAGAACTGAGGAAAGGTCAGTGTGCCTGGGTGGAGAGAATGAGGGAGTGTCAAGTAGGTATGGGCTGCCTGAGTGGGCCTTTAGCCTTAGAGCTGTAGAGGAAGCCATTGAAGGGTTTTCAGCGAGTAGATGACATGATAGGTTTTTAATTTGTACTTCCCTGATAGTTAGTGGTTATATATATTTAGTTTTTCTTTTCTTGTGCAGAAAGATTTAATTTTTATGTATATCTGGCCATTCTTCAAAGTTATGGTTTCTGGGTTTCTTGTCTTGCTTAAGAAGACTTCCCCAAGTCCCATGTTTATTTAAAAAAAAACAATAACAAAACCAACAGACCTCTCATTTTCAACACTTTT